GGCTACTTGAACTAGCCAGAAACTAGAAATAGCAACCAGAAAAGCCCCTCAACCCTTGTAGTCTTACTGACTTAGTTAAAGCTGATGTAGTCCCTTTTTTCATTGCACAGAAAAGACTTTGAAAATTTAGGTGAGCTCAAAGCTCCAACTTATTTTTAATCATGTTTTTGGTTTGGGTTTTTTTTAAGACTAGTTTTCTAGTTTTATCTTTGAGATCTCAGAAGCAGAGATGTTTAGCTTGGGCCACCATTTGATTAGGAGGTTTAGAGTGGTCAGTAATTTGGTCGGAACTAATGGATGACTGAAAATGACATCTTGAGGAGGTATTGAATTAAGATCCAAAACCAATGACTAGGCAGCACTGAAGATCTATTATTTGAGAGACATAACACTGAAGTTAATATATTGTTTGTTGTGTTTGCAATTGGATGTGTAGTTCCATTTCACTTCATATCCTAAGTTATTAGAATTGCTTTGGTGTCCTTCAGATGTGGTTGTGTCTCAGTTATGTACTTCAGCTGCGTCGAGAATGATAGTCTGAGCCTACAGTGATAACTTGTATGATAATGACTTTGAAATTTTAAGAAAAAGAATCCAAACATCCCTTTAAAATGTTTGTAATAGTAGTGACCAGGAAGTCCTTTTTTCATCTTTGGATTACATTTTTAGTTCCAATACTTCAAACAATTCGTGTCCTGTAGACCATAGTCTCTTAACTTATTAATCTGAAGGATATAACTTGAATCTTCTCAGAGTGATGCAGTGAGGTGCAGAATGGAATTCCTGTTGTGTGAATCTGTTCTTATCGCTAACATCCTTTTATGCACAAGGAAGAAAAATATTGTCATTTGGAAAAGAATTCAAAATATCAGAAGATTACTAGGTTGGTTTTTTTAGCTTTATACAGATTGCATACTTCACTGTAAAATAAAAGCATGAGTGTCTAATCTGTTTGCACTTGTGTTGCGTGGATTTCAGCAACTTGGAAAGGTTCTACTTCATGTTCAACTTGCATGAGTGCAGTTGACTGAATAAGACATCAAACAGTAGAAGGTCTTCTCATGTGTTTGCATACAGGAGAGCATTCAAACCATTTTGCAATTTACTATATTTCACCTGCAAAGAAGTCAGGGAGCTGGTCAGTGTTTGTGGTATATTGCTGATGTTCTTGGATTACTTGGTTTAATCAGGATGGGTATTGTGAGTGGTTCAGCAAATTCTGAGTGGTATTGGGTATGCTAAATAATACCTGGTGCAATTGATTTTGATGCTGCAGTGCTGCAAATTTAGAAACAAGGTAGTTGAAGTATTTCCCTTATTTGATTTAATGCTTGGCTTTTTTAATCTTTTAGATTATGTTTGCTCCCTCAATTCTGTGTTGTCTGTCTTTTTAATACCTCTGAATCATGTGTTCTTGTATTTTGTAGCTGTTTAACTGTCCAAATTTTTGCAAGGCACACAGCAAGGATTCCATCAATGGAGCATTGTTCATCACCTGATTTGTTTGCTGGACTCACTTTAGCCTGTTAGCCTTGAATAAAATCCCTTCCCTATTCAATACTGACGAACATTACTATTTCTTCTTACTGGATGAATTTTTGCTTTGTATTTCCTCCTTCACTGATGCATATTTAATAGGAACAAGATTAGTCTTAATACCAAAGCCTGTGGTGATGTACATCAGATCAAAGTTCTGAAATAGTCAATGGATGAATATGATTTTGTTCCTAATTAAAACAATTAGTTTTACATGCTGCTTTTCAATGAAAACTTAATGTGTGAGCTCTTGTATCAATTTAATTTCATTATGCCAACATATTTACAATGCTAGAGTAGAAGTTGAGTCAGTGTTTCCATTATAAGATCCTATTTTACAACTGTAAAATTAGTATTGTACTCTTTAGGGGGTTATAATCTGCCTGTAAAAAATCATTTAGGGCAGAAACTTGGCACATAGGGTTTCAACAGCATATATCTTGGGGAATAAAGAAAATGTAATTTTGGAATACAATGCGTTTGTAGATGGATTAGAGTTATGAGGGCAGAGAAGAATGAATGCACTTTGATTTGCAACCCAATTTTCAAAATGTTTTTTTAAAAGAACTTCTAAACAGACAGCACAGAAAATACTTTTCTTGTGTCACTGGTGCTTTGTATAGACCAATTCAGAAGGGATGGTTCGGAGGGTGGTGGGAAAGGGGAGACAAATACTTCTTAGTTGTGTATGAATTTTTCTTCACTTATACTTCAGTCAGCTCAAAAGCACCCATTTCTTTTCACAATTCTATTTAATGTAAATATTTCAACATGATGTTAAGTTTGTAACACAGAATAGTTGATAAAACTTTTCAATTACAAGTCTTTGTAAATCTTTTCAAAAACTGAGACATTAAACCACTATCTTCTCTCATAATCTTTTATGTATGAAGGTATTGGAGGCCATCGCTTTTCCCATAATTATATTTCCTTGTTTATACCATATTTTTGAACAGGAATTTGTAAGAATTTAGGATTTTATTTTTATTTTTAAAACTGACCCTCTTATGTAGGTAAGAAAATAATGTCATCCTTTCAGTTCTGCATCAGGCCCTGAATTAAGGTGGTACTTCAACAACAATTTCAAGAATACAGGCAAAGTTACTTTGGTACTTAACTCAACCTTACTAATTCTTAAAATACTTCTGTAGGATATGAAACAGTTTTGGAAATAATCCACATTTTAAAAACTTGTATTAAAAATTAAATGCTAATACTTGAATATTTTGAGTATCTGCAACTTGCAATAAACTTTTAACATCACCACCTCAAGCAGCTAGAGCTGTCCCTTTGTTGTGGGCTTGACAGACACGTAATGTTGTTGCTTAGAAGGTGGCCAGTTTGAGTAGGGATGGCTTGCTTCATGTGTTTCTGAGGTACGGCTCAGGTTGGAACTTACACCCACAGGATTTCCCTCAGGTGTCTCATCTTTTAGTAGTAAAGGACAATTAACATGGTTGACAGCTATACTTTTCCTGAAGTACCTTTTCATGACCTTTTATTTCACACACAGACTCACACACAGAATCATCTAGGTTGGAAAGGACCTTGAAGATCATCTAGTCCAACCCTTAACCCAGCACTGACTACAGTTCCCAACTACAGCATATCCCTCTGTGCTAAGTCGACCCTACTCTTAAACCCCTCCAGGGATGGGGACTCCACCACCTCCCTGGGCAGCCCATTCCAACAACCCATTCTGTAAAGAAATACTTCCCGACATCTAGCCTAAATTTTCCCTGGTGCAGCTTTAGGCCATTCCCTCTTGTCCTGTCACTTACTACTTGGTTAAAGAGGCTCATCCCCAGCTCTCTGCACCCTCCTGTCAGGGAGCTGTAGAGGGTGATGAGTTCTCCCCTCAGCCTCCTCTTCTCCAGACTAAGCCCCCCCAGTTCCCTCAGCCGCTCCCCATCAGACCTGTGCTCCAGACCCTGCACCAGCTCCGTTGCCCTTCTGTGGACACGCTCGAGTCATTCAATGGCCTTTTTGGAGTGAAGGGCTCAAAACCCCTCATTGAGTACAGGACTCAGATCCCTTCCCTGTCCCTGCTGGCCACGCCAGTGCTGACACAAGCCAGGAGGCCATTGGCCTTCTTGGCCTCCTGGGCACACTGCTGGCTCCTGTTCAGCCAGCTGTCAATCAGCACCCCCAGGTCCCTCTCTGACTGGCAGCTCTCCAGCCACTCCTCCCCAAGCCTGTAGCGCTGCTGGGGGTTGTTGCCGCCAAAGTGCAGAACCTGGCATTTGGCCTTATGGAAACTCCTCCAGTTGGCTTCAGCCCATCACTCCAGCCTGCCCAAACCCAGGTTCTCCATCCTTCACCCCCTTTAACAAACATCTTGCCTCTATAAACCTGCCCTTCCCTTCTTCCCTAGAGGTGTGGGCATTGCCTGCGGTTCTGCAGTCACAAGGTAGTAAGCGTTACAACAGGCAGGTGAGCTAGGGACAACTGCAGGACGAGGTGGGGAGGGCCTGGATTGTGGTCTGGGACTAATATCCTCTGTGTCCTGGGCAGCAGAAGCCTGTACGGTCAGAAGATAATCTGAAGAGCCAGCAGCTGAGGTGTGCTTCAACTGCTTGAGAGCTATATGTGGTTTCACATGCTCTGATGGGGTTAGCTTTCTTCAAAGTCACAGATAAAAATCTCTAATTTCCAAATTCAGCAATAGCTTGTGACATAGGTGAATGTAAATTGCTCTCAGATGCCAAATGTATCCTTCTGCTTCAAACAAATCCATTCTTTCCTTGAGCTCATGCAAATAATGACTTATTAAGTCTTGTTACGCTACATCACTGTGGTGGTAATTTTTACTTCAGCATTTTGAAACCCAAACTGAACAGATGTTTCCTGAATGTGTGCATTAAATTATCTGTTCTTGCTCTTGATGTATTATATGAATTAGTGATTCATTAGGCTATGTTTTCAGGATCTTTACCGCATGGAAACTTTTCCGCTTCTTTTGCTATTTATACCAATATTATTCTCTAGAATTCTTCATCTCTGACCCCAGTCATAGTCCATGGTTACAGTATTTATATGCTCTTTCTATACAACAGCCCTGTAATACTCTCAGCAACCATGTCCTGCCCATAAAGAAATTCAGCAGTTCAGAACTGTTGCCAGCCTCCCCCTGAGGAAAGTGTATGACATGTGCAGGGAACCCATATGTCAGTAACTTCATATGCTGTAAAGTTGCCTCAGCCATGAAGACAATTTAATAGTTTTACTTTACAAGATTTTAAACATGGATTTTATTGTAATTCAATTTCCTGTACCTTTTCCCATCTATTATAGATGGGGAAGCAAATCTGGAGAGTTACCTTCATTAATGTCACATAGATTGTCATGGGGAGAGTTAGGAATGCAACTAATATTTCTTTAAAATACATAAAAAAGGAAGAAAGAACAACCCCACGCTGCTGCATTAATACTTGCTGTAATACTCTGTGTATTTCTCTTCACAGGTGACTGTTACAACTATTGGCTATGGGGATAAAGTGCCTCAGACCTGGATAGGAAAGACCATTGCATCTTGTTTTTCAGTATTTGCAATTTCATTTTTTGCACTACCTGCGGTAGGTTATCTTGTGCTTCTGCTGGCAATTTGGTGTTGACTTTAATTAGTCATCAGAGGAAACTTCTGTTAGTGATTCTTCAACCTTTTGTTTAACCTGCTGTTATGAAAACTTTGTATTAAACTTTATATGTGGTTAAAAAAGAAGTAGCTTCTAGAAGCAAAATAGAATTGGTATATATTTGAGAAAGAGATGTTTAATTCAAATCACTTTTTCTGTCCATGTCAGAAGTGTAAAGGGAATTATTTCTCATGCTAATTATTTCTGGACTCAGTGACTTAGTGATGTTTTGGCTTTTTAAGGCATTCACTCATTGTTTACTCAACTGATTAGGTCCAGGGTGGACTGTAGAGTTCTTGTGCGTATCATTCGTCTAGCAAAGCTGCCGAAAAAGTGTCACTGGCAGAGAGACAATAAGCAGTCAGGGTCACTGATGCAGATCTTTGCCAAATTAGCATCTGTCCATAGACAAAGTCCCATTTTCAGAAGTGGCCTAGGGCTGAGCTTTTAAAGGTGTTATGGCACTTTGTTTGCACTGAAAACAGGTTCCCAAGTACCTTCTAACAAGAAAAAAGGCACTTGAGTACCAAGGATAAAATGAAAATCAGTGAAACCTGGACTGTGGTTTGAAAACACAAAATGTTCAGTGCCAAGGGTAGTTAAGGGTATTTTTTTCACAAATTTCGTAACACACCTGAATTGTTGCTGTTAAAATGTTTCTTTTTCAGCAAGTTTTTCAGCTCAGTGACATGAACGGTTCTGTTAGCAGATGTTAGTGTAGTTGTGACAGGGAAGTGGTGGGGTTAAGTACAGGATGGATAAGAATACTTTTAAGCCAGTACTGTCACAAAAATTCTTCACATCATATAATAACTATTAAAAATCCAGTGGCTTTTTAAAATTAGATGCTTACGTTAAAGGTACACAAGCTTTTGCAGAGGAGGGTGTCGATTTTCAGACTCTCCAACATCAGTTTGCCTTTAAAGCATATTCTTCACCCCTCCTCATTCTAATCTCTTTCACACTTATTCCTTTTTTAGAGGAGAGATCTGGTAAATGAAATGATCTATAAGAAAAATGCTGAAAGTTGCTATTTTGACTGAAGAGTTGGTTGGGTTTTTTTCCTGGGACTTGAATGCCAGCAGAGATATTTTATAAATAATTGTGTAGCAACCCCACATCCTCAGCCATGCTTTTATATTTACCTGTCAGATTTCCCTAGCCGTTAGTAGAAGTAAAACATCAAACACCCCTTTACCAGTGTGATTTTATTTACTGAATTAAATTGTTGTGAGTTGGCCCAAGGGGGAAATTTAGGGTTTGAAGCTGTAGCAGTAAATGGTTGATAAGTAGTGGCTATTGCACAGTGCCTTGTTGCTGTTTTAAATAAGGGGAGCTGGCTGAGATCAGTCAGAAGTAATTGTTGTGGCTAAACACAACTGGTGTAGGTTCTGGAAGTAGCAATGATCCTTCATTTCCCAAATAAGTGATGTTTGCGCATCATTAGCTCTTTGATCTTTACTAAATGAACATAATAGGAAGGGCCTTTCCTGTTCCTTTCAAAACACTTGCTGATTAATACAGTTCTTAAGAGGTTGAGCCAAGATCACTGGCTGCTCTCAGACATTGACTGCTATATGTAGAAAATTAGTGATGGTTTTTTTGAGTAGATATAGCCACGTAAGCTCGTTTTTATCTGTGTTACTAAAACCTCTGTTAAATATGATTATAGCTATGGAAATGATTAGATAAATTACTTGCTCTGTAATTAATTTTTGATCCCATAGTTATATGCGTTTGGAGGCTATTTTGGGTTGTACACCATGGAGTGCCATTAGTCCATGTCCCTTGTCCTGAGAGTGGATTAGATGGCCTCACTGAAATCCTGACCATTCTGTAATATTCCTTTTCCTCTTCTTTGTCCTACCCTCCCAGCATGGGTTAACAACATATGGAAATAGAAATTACCATACTACAGTTAAAGGGTTTTTCTTGTGACCTGAATCATGCCATGCCAAAGTTCTATTGCTCATAAAAATGAAGTTAAGCACATTGGGTTAATATTTCTCCCTATTCTGTTGTTCCCTTTCACAAGCATTTACGAGGCTTTTGGAGGGTATTGAAATATCATTTCTGCTCGTTCTTTAGCTTTTGAGTCCAGCTGACTTAAATAAGCTTTGGATCAGGGCATGATAGCATTCATAGTTTGTTTCAACAAGTAATACTAACTGAGCCTAAAAACTTAACAGTATTAAGTCATTTCCTCTAAATAATTAGCTGGGTTTTATGATGCTGAATAGAAGTTTATTAATACAACATAATTTGGCAAGCTTATGTGTGTTTTTTTCCCCCTTAAAAAAAATTAGGTCTGTGTTTTCTTTCTTCCCACAGGGAATTCTTGGTTCAGGCTTTGCCCTAAAGGTACAACAGAAACAGAGACAGAAACATTTCAACCGTCAAATTCCAGCTGCTGCCTCTCTCATACAGGTACTGAGTTCCTGCATTTTGTGTACTATCATTTCTTTCCATTTATAGGTTGTTTTTTTTTTTTCAAAACTGTTGGCAGTATTTCCATGCCTGATTCCCATTAAAAATTGTAGAGGAGCGACAGATGGAAGTCTTTGAAATGGTTTTGGAAATCTCACTTTTGATGTAAACTAATGAGCAGAAAAGGTCTCTCCCAAATCAGTGTAAACTGTTTAATTCAACTGGTTAAAATAAAAACCGAAGGCTATCGTGTAGTTACTGAAGAATTTACTTGGGAAAAACATTATGAAATACTATGTTTGCAGTAGTGAAAAACAGGAGGCTCAATGCAAACTGTACTTCTAAAAAAACCCACGTTGTTGCTTGTAAAGACAAATGTCAGGTATGCTTCATTTTCCTTGTGACAAAGAAATTCTTAAAAATTTCAAATTTAGGAGAATTAAGTCAGAATGTTAAATAGGAAAATCTTATCTGAAATTTTCACCTCCAGGACAGGTGTCTGGGAACCACTGGGATTTTGCAAAATCAGTCTTTTCGTGTAGGGTAACATACAGGCCGAAACATGTTGATCCCCTCTGTTGAAAATACAGTTGCAGTTCAGTGTCAGTAAGGTCAGTGAGATTTTATCCTTTACTTCAGTAGAGCCAGCATTTCACTCTGGAGAAGTATCAATATGGTTTCATTCCAGGCTTTTTCAGCTTTTCCTCCCTCTGTCAGTATCTGCATGGAGCTTTAGAAGCACAGGGATCAAATTTTAAAAGAAATCTAGATGTACACCTAAGCTGTATCATTTTTGCATTCTCCTACGACTTATTTCTCTAGCTTCATGAGTGAATGTGGATTTCCAGGTCAGGCTCTTTATGGAAACAGTAGCTAACTGTAAAGTTTATGCTTGAAACTAAACAGTCCCAGAGTTAATGTGAAAAAGGTTTAAATTTAGGGCTCTGGTTATAGCCAGAGATTAGCCAAAAATCTTCAGACTCACTGTGTTTCGTTTGGACTGCATGGTCAGAAAAAGGTATGGTTTTGCACAGAATGGATTTTTAGTGTTCCCACTGATTCTTTTGGGAAATCAACCCCAAATTATTGGGAAGCCTGAAACTGCGTGTCCAGAATGTTTTACTTGGCTGCGTCTGAAATGTTAAGGAGCAGTGGAGGGATAGACAGTGAGTTGCTGACTACCTGTTCTTAATAGTGGTAATTATGATTTACTAATAGTCTTGGACTTCTAAAGGCCCAATTTAATAAGTATTCTACAAATAACTTACAAAAACACGATTTCCAAACCAAGAAGTTTATGAAAGAAGTAGAAGACAAAACAACAGCTGAAATGAGTGATACTTTTTTCTTGTATTCCTTCTTGTTTTCTTCTAGAAGCCAGTTGTTTCTTCCCATATCCTGTTAACCATGGTGGGAATTATATGGGGATTGTCTGATTCTTTCCTTTCCAACTGCTGTCTGTTTTCCTCTGTCATTCTGCCTTGCTTTGTTTCTTTCATCTAGTGTTTTCTGGCCTTTCCCACTTCAGATTTTATGTATGTATGTGTGTGTGTCTCCTTTTTTCATGTAGTGAGTGAGGATCCGCCTTTTTAATTCGAAGACTAATTATTAATCAACTCTGATGATATATTTACACATTTAAGAGAGAATGCAGCAGTGTGTTACCTCTGGTTGGTTTTATTTCCCAGCCCTGCTTTTCTTCCTTGTTGTCTTAGAACATAGTACTTTAATCATTGGTGGTTGGCAGGAGGGAGGGTTGGGTTTGGGTTTTGGCTTCTGGCTAACCATTGGTGCCGTTCCTTCATGCTCTGAGTCTTATTTCTTTGTATGAATATAGCCCTACTGACCACATCACAATTGCTTTCTTTTCTGGTAGTACTCTTCTGAGGCAGGGAAGAATTATTTTTGTTTTCTGAGTAGGAGCCTAAAGCACAGGATGCAATAGGCAAAATGGTCAAAGGGAAAGCGGAGCAGAGCAAGAAATTCAACTCCAATCTTTTGAGTCCAGTCTAGAATTCTGTCTTATTATTTGTTTGTTGCTAATGAGAACAAAAGTTGCACTTGAAAAGACTCCCTTTCTGGTTTGCCCAGTTCTGGTTTCTGTTTGCTAAATAAGGATTCTGAACCATGCTGATTTGTTTCCAGTGGGGAAATTCAAGAATACTATTAAATAAAGAACGACTAATGTGCTACTTGGAAGTTACTTTGTAGTACAAATAGCTACAAATCTGATTAAATTAATTGTTCTGTTGCTTAAAACATTTGTTCTAGACTGCATGGAGATGCTATGCAGCAGAAAACCCAGACTCTTCTACATGGAAAATATACATTCGAAAACCTGCCAGAAATTATCATTTGATGTCACCCAGTCCAAAACCGAAGAAATCAGTGATGGTACCAGTAATTAGCATTTCCTATCACAGTAATTTAAAAATTTTAAATTCAATTGAATTTGTTTACTCTCTAGACACTATTTGTTGTGTTTGTTTTGCAGATTATTACTTGGTTTCAAAGTTTTATTTTCATTTCAACTTTGAGATTTTTCAGTGTACAAACATTTTAAACTATAACTTAATTTGCTTCAGTTCCCAAGCTTGACTTTTTTAATAGGTCTAATGGGTTTGGAAAAGAGGAATAATGAGCTAACTCAGGCACATCAACCAGTAGCTTACTGCTGTTGTTTGGAAAACTATAAGCAAAGGAAAAATACAAATTACTGTTTTCAAAACTGTAACTTTTAATTGATTTTAAAAAGAAACAAAACTGCTGTTTCGCTCAGCTGTTGATTTTGTGGTTTTCTAAGCTTCTGTGCTGAAGACATCTTGTGCCTATATACACCATTTTCATATCAACTGATTCCATAAGTTAAGAATTTTTTTGTTTAAAAACCAGCAATAAAAAACTTTGTCAGAATCTTTAAATTACATAATACTTCATCCTTGCTATTGTAAGAGCATTGCACAGTAGTCTCAAGCTGGAAGACAAGGATGTTGTGCAAAAATCTTCCCTAATATCCCAGGTTCATCTGAGTTCAGCAGAAATATATCCATTTGCTTTTTGCTGAATGATTTATTGCATCCATAAAATGGTAAAGATATTCTAGAATAGTCTGATTTATGTACACTGTCACAGAACTAGCAGATTTTTTTACTGCAGGCAAGGGATTTGCTGATGACAATGTGCAGAATTCTAGTGATTAACCAGTTTTGGTGGGATAGTGGACAGTCTTACTGAGAAACGCAGTGTAGCATCATGAAAATGTAATTGGTCAGGCACTCTTTTGACTGGTTACAGCTCATTGGGGACTGTCTTATTATTGAAGACATTACTGAAGAAACAACTGAATGTGGCTTGGTTTGAGTAATTTAATGTATGTGTATTTTTAGGTTAAAAAGAAGAAATTTAAGTTAGACAAGGACAATGGGCCTGCTTCTCCAGATAGGATGTTAACTGTTCCACACATCACTTACGACCATGTGACAGAGGACAGGAAACCTGATTTCAGTTTTGAACCATATGAAAATTCTGGTAAGAAATTCCATTATGAAATGCCAGTAACTTCAATGGCTTCTATTAGTGATTCACACACAGGTCATCTTTAACACCTGTAGGAGACAGGATGAGGACAGAACAAGCTCTTGTCATTCTAAAGCAAGAATACTTTGCTTTTTGACTGTGGTCGCTGGCTTGTCTGGATGAGATTCAGCCATTCCTTTAATGAGCATGCTCCACTGCAGACAAACAGATTATTTGTCATTTCTGCCTGCCAGAAGAGCTACTGCCTCGGAGGCTGGCGCATGCATTCCCCAATTCTGCAACTGATTGAAACTGTAAGGATTAGTTCTTTGCTTTTCTATGTAAAATTTACCCAAGATGTGTTACTATTGTGCTTGTACCTCAACCAAAAACGATTGACATGTCTTGGCTGCACTAAACATAGTCTGCTACATGAAACCATCGTGTGCTCCTGCCATCTGCTCAGTGGAGTAGGCTGTGAATCAGATTTTGAAAGCAGAAGTTCTTAAGATAAATGTGGATCCATCTGTATTAACTGTCACTGTACAAAATGGTACAGTATGAGGAAAAAAGAAGAAAGGACTTTGATAGTCACCTTATAATGAATAGCTTAGTTATAGTTGCTTTAGCTGTAATGAAGTTCCAAAATAACTCTGAATTTACAATGTGGCTTTTTACAAATGTACTTTTATTAGAAGGTTTTAATGTGTATTGCTCAAATTTTGGCAGCAGGAATGAGGTTTAATTTTTAAGGTGTGTTTTATTGATTATAGATACCTTAAGTACTTATGTGTTTTTTCTCCTCAAAAATTTGGCTGACCAATTTAATGACCTTTAAAATAAGACAGCAATGTGGGCTGGCACCAGGCATATTATAATTCTAGCAGAAGGTCTCACTTTCCATGTACTTTTTTGGTATGCTTCTGTCTTGTCTTGTTCTGTAATATCCATGCTTTCCACTCTTTCTTGGCCTCTGTTAAGGAATGATTGCGAATTGCATCTGGTGGTAGAAATGACAGAGCTGTTAAAAGGTGGAAGAGTACTAAATTTAATCTGTGTCTCAGGCTTTGAGTACAGATACCTTCAAAACAATCCAGTGAATGAACTGTACAAATGCTTAGTTTTATAAACTCCCACCTTTTATCACTAAGTTCCCAAGTTGAGTAAAGGACAATATGATTTGCAGGCAGCCTACTGCTGCCGCTTCCAAAATCAGCCCTATACCTTTCAATAAAAGGATTTTTTCTAATTTCTTCTGACACTTATCTTTTTTCTTTTTTATCTGTGCTCTGCTCTCTCTAAACTGTTACAAGTATACAGGACAAACAGGAATGTTAAAATTGCTTGGTAAGTTGAGGAAAATAATTCTATCTGTGGCATGCCAGCTTCTGACAATGTGATGTTTGCGGTGCTATTCATGTGTGTCTAGTGCCATATAGTTTCTAAGAAATCTTTTGCAGCCAAGGAGATCTAGACAGACAAAATGTACATTCTCACACTTGTACTCACAGTTGCACCCACAGTTTCAATACAAAGAGAAAAGTGATCACTCGTTTATGTAAGTAGTTGATCTCTGTTGTTTTGATAATTGAGAAAAATTTCTCGTATATATATAACCAATAGAAAAGGATAATCTACGTATAAATAAATTATAATTCACTCAGTAGTTTAGTTATCTGAGTATATAGCTGAGAACTTCTAAACAAATAGAGTGGGACAGAAGAAAAATTTCCAGATTTGACCTCTAATATTGTGAATTCTGAAGTACATGCATCTGTTCCTGTAAAAATGCTCTGTAGATATTTGTGAACAGATGGGGACCCATAAATTAAATAATTTATTTTACTGTTTGTCTGGATTCTGTGATCACTTAAGCAGCCATGCAGTCCTGTGATGTTTCTAATGTGCTTGCTTAGGCACTTTCTTAACAATTGAGTGTTCCCCAAAGACTCTAGGGTTAGGGGTAGGTCTGGGCAAAACCCCTCTGTTTTACTGAGAGTGCTGTGAGCCACCTGTAAGTTGTCTGCTCTGCATCCACTAAAGATAATAGAGGCTTCTTTTCAGCAGTTGAGTGCAAGGATGCTCAAGCTTGGATTAAATTGTCTGAAAATACAAGGTTCAGTTTCTCCTCTGAACCCACATGGAACACAGATGCAAGTAAGGTGGTAAAATAGCAGAAACCAAAACTAATCTCCTTGACTCCCCCTGACCAATCCTTGATTTGCCCATTTTCCAGTTTCCACTTTTCTCCTGAATTCCAAGTGTTGCATCTCTGTTGGGGGTGAGCAAGGTGGAACGAGTTCGGGAGAGCAGCAAGAGCCATGAAGTCACCCGTTTTACATGAACAAGAAATTCCTTCATTCTGGGGAAATATCAGAGGAGTTTTGCCATCCACTGTAGGTTCAGTTTCTATTTCTAGCCAGGCAGCATGAGCATGGTGGACCTGAGAGGTTTACCTATCACTGTTCTCACAGTGACTGAAAGGAATAGAGGAGAGTCTATTTACTTACTCTGAGTAAGGTTACCTACACGGAAAACTGAAGCTGCTAAGTCAAAAACCCAGAAACAAGAAATCAGGGAGCACAAGAATAAAGGGCGCTCATTCAGTTTTAATTTGGTCTTCAGAAAGCCTCTAATCACATGTCCATACGCTGCTTTCCCATATTCAGTACATTTGGTTCTCTCTTTGGGCTGCCCACTTATATTCAAGTCCTCACACAGCTGGATCCCCCATCTAGCTTCCCTGCCAGCATCCTCATGCAGCCAGAGATTGCCACCTCCCTTTCTGCCCTCCTTCTTTCTCCTGGTGTCATCAGTTCAGCAAAGACCCAAGAGCCATGGCTGGAGCATGCCTGGCACTGACAGAACACTTGCAAAATGAGTCTTCTTTCAGGTTTTTTTAATTCCTATTTTGAGGGTTTTCGTCTTTGGGTAAAAAGTAAGGCAACACTTCTGAAAAGTATCACTCTGCCCCAGTGTGTGAGTCCACAGGCATTTCTTAATGAAATAGTTATTAAAAGGATAATGCTGCTGTTCAGAAGAACTACACACAGCACATACGTTTTCTTTTGCTGAGTCTCTCATCACTGACTCCTCTTGCTTGCCTGAAACTTTTCCCCAAGAAATTCAGCTTGAGGCAGGCACTTAGCTTAAATGGTTGAAGTGGGCAGCTTCAAGTGCTGTTTATGGGATGTGTCAGGCAGCTTTGAACATGGGTGTCAGTATGGGTCTGTCCACCTGAACAGCACTGCAGTCCAGCTAGGGGGTAGCTACACCATGAACGAGAGCAAGAGCGGGCTCACCTGTATGAGGCTGTACATTTTGGAAAGGGAAACACATGAGGAAACCCTAAAGTCAGGAAGGAAAGGGCAAACATATAGACTACTTTCTTCAAAATGGGACTGGCTTGTAAGGAGGAATATCTTGCAGCAGATTACACTGCCAGGAAGAATGGGTTTGAAGAGTCAATGATGCCTTCCCTCGTGGGGATTTAATATCCTGCTAAGATGTAATGCACACTACAAGAGTTTCATACAAACTGTTTTTCACAGTATTTTTTATTTTGTTTTTAAACATGTCAGGTACAGCATACTGTATTTTAGATATGTCTGCATCTCCTCAGCTGCCTGTCTGGAGCCTTCTTTCTTCCCCTCCCCCTCACCCTCCCCTCCATCTCTTTATTTTATGTGCATCTTCACTCTGACTCAGATTGTCAGCGCTCCTGGCCATCCTTTTCCACAGACCAGCAGTCTTCCAGTGCTCCTTCCTCTCCAGGTAATGCTCATAATATTTCATTGCTCCATCACCTTTGTTAATTACTAAATCTTTGCAATGCTCTGTCTGGAGTTGCCTACTGTGGCACAGAAAGTTGTAGTGCTGTTTTTTAAAGAAAGCAGAGTCATGTCATAGAATTTTGAGTTTGGAAAGTTGTTCAGGTTGTGAATTGCAAATATTGAAATAAAAAAAAGGAAATGTTCTGCAGACCAGAGGTATTTTCTAAATGCATTAATTAAAACTCAGGTTTTCCATGAAAAATGTTTAAAATTTTTTATCTGTGCTTGCAAAAGACAAAGTGTAAAACATTTTGTGTCTTACTAGACAAATACTACCAGAGAAGCATCTGCATACATGTCATATTATATATAAAAATGTTGTGTTGGTAGTATAAAAACCCATCAGTAATTTCTGGTTGTTGTGTTCATAATCCTTGATTGAAAGTTCATAGAATCATAGAGCAGTTTGGACTGGAAGGCATCTTTAAAGGTCATCTAGACCAATTCTCCTGCGATGACCAGGGACATCAACTAGATCAGGTTGTTCAGAGCCCCATCCAGCCTGGCCTTGAATGTTTCCAGATACTTCAGATTTCTGTTTTAAAGCAGGGATTATTATATTGTGGGGAGTGTATTTTCTGCCCTTTCAAAATAGTACTCGGCTCAGCACTATCAGTTGGATAGTCATGCCTGTTACCATAGTTGCTGCTGCTACCCATCAAAAATAGAGAAAATAAAACTCGAGGACCCCTGAATTATAGTAAATGTCCCTTGCTACACATGTTTTCCATTTCTTTTCACTCATTATTATCTATTCAAAATGAGTTTCTAAGGTTTCCTTTTTTTCCCTTTAGCCTACTTATTTAGAAATGCAGTGTCTTTTTTTTTTTAACATACTTTTTTTTTTTTTTTAAACGCTGCTTTGTGAGAAAGACTCCTCCAAAATCAAATGGTTATGAATTTATTTTCATAAATAAAGAAATATGCTGTGGCAGCATATGGTCCCTGGGGCTGTGCCTGAGCCTTGTTTCAAGGCACTTTGTGGCAGGGAAGCTCTTCGTTAATGCCATGTTCTTTTTCTGGTCCCTCCTCTCTCTGTGCGAGCAGGTTGTACGGGGATGTTTTGGAGTGGTTCCTTCTTCATGTTGGAAGCAGCAACGTACATTTAAGAATGAGACCATGTAGAGCAGAGGGCTGCACTGGTCACCAGAGCAGACTGATCTTGTTTATGATCAACTTAGAAATTTTTAAAATAAAAAGAGGGAGGGAGATAGCCGATCTTTGCCTCATATTAAGCAGCTCTTCACCTCTGTATTCTCAGATAACAGCACTTTCAAACAGGCTGAGGTACAGTTGTGACTTCTTTTTTCATTGTGCCACTCCTTGTCTCCCCTCCCATGAAATAGAAAAGCAGTAACTGTGAATGATCCAAGAATAGCCGTTTTATGTAAATCCACTTGCTTACTGTGTGTCTTAGATCTCTCATAAGCACAGTTTAGTGAGTGTTCAGCAAACACTTTACATGGGTTTAGGTTCAGCAGTTTATCACTTGGCATCAGGAAAACTAAAAAGTCTGTGAGTCTGCTAGAAACTGGGAAAGTTTCGTTTGTATCTGGTAGAAATGAAAACAGTGAAAATTAGTGAAAGCCAAAAAGAATCTGTTTTAAAGACATGTTGCTGCGTATCTGAACGTGGAATTATTTTGCTTGTTTCGTAGCCGCTATCTTGGATGATGGCTACAGCAAAGTGATTAAAACAACATGATGTTAAAACCAAAAATAGGAAGCTAATATTTGCTAAAACTTGGTAGAGAACTTTTGGTTTTAAGTGCTGCAAGTGGCTTCTGCATTTAATAATTTTATCTCTTTTTTTCACTGTGATTTCAGAGGTCTTCCTCTCCTATTACATTTTCTGGAGAGCAGACTTTCCCATTATAATTTTGAATGGCCATGTGCCTGATGGTGTAATAACATTTTCTCTTCTGATTGTTTGTCAAAGTTCAAATCCATTTGTGCCATTTGAAGATATCTACTTACTTGTGTAACATGGTTGCATTAAAAAAAAAAAAAAAGGATTCCTGATATCCCTACTTCTATTCTCATTAAATTCAGGTATATTTAAATTAGTTATTTCTGCTGTATTTCTTTAGCTTTCATGTTGCCTTTTGGCAGGGCATTATTTACTGTTATATTCTAAAGTATATAATACAGTAGAAACTTCATAAATTGCAATATCATAATTATTTTGTTGAATGATCCAGTCAGTTGCACAGATAAAGATTTCTATGGAAATTTCACAATATACCTATGATTTCTATGGAATTTTATTACTTGTTTTTATTCTCTTTAAAGTTAATTTACAGTCATGTATAAATACAATAGTGGTTCTATTTATATGAAAATTTTGTGGCTTCTCTAACAAATGTTAGGACTACGCTGAAGAAAGCACTTAGGGTTATTAATGTTAGTCTGGCAGAATTTAGGAGCCTGACTTTAAAAATGAAATCTGAAATACTCTGTAATTTCTTGGATGCATGCAAGTGTTGGTATACAAGTAACTTTGCCACTAATAAATTTCAATATTGGAAGTTTTGTGAAATGGCCTTCCCACTAAGGACCTCATCTTGGATGAACTGAACATCTTGTCACCTGTTTTGTGTCTGGGCTCAAAGACGAGGCATCCTTGTGCCTGAGTGTGAGAGAGGCTGGGTACCAGTAGACAGACAGTGTGTGACAGGAGCTGACTGCTCACCATGAAAACACACAGGGCTCCTTTGTTGATCTAGGCCTGATTTCTTGGTCTTAGTCACATTAATACACCCCAGAAACTGGTATTATAAACTAAAACATGAATTAGAGATGATATAAAAGGGAACTAATCTTGTCATTGAATTGCACTCATGCACTGTTGCTGTAGAGCCGTGGTCCATGGTATGGCTGAGTATTGTACAAGAAGTGTTATAATGCATGAAGCTGCTTGTGGTATAGATACTCTACATTATAGTGTATAAGGAGTATGAAAAAAAAAAAAAAAGAGTCAAAATTCTTCGGATAGAAGAGTTAAAGTTTTCATGAACTCTGTGGTATATGTAATTTTTTTGTAGTAACTTCTGTTTTTAATATTCTGTTAAAATGTACAGTATTTCAGAGATCCAAATGAGTGGCAGACCTCTCTTGAAAAAGCTGAATGCTATTGCTTTGACTGTTATCTGCATGTTTCCTCACAGTGAAAAAAAGTCCGACGTTTTTAGATGTGAACACAGGACCCTTCATCAGGACCAACAGCTTTGCCGATGAGCTTGACCTGGAGGGTGAGACACTGTTGACCCCAATAACTCACATCTCACAGTAAGTCAAGGCTGTTGAATTGTGCATTAGTTGACTTAGACAAGAGAAGCCAATTCGAGTGGGAGGAGCTGAAATATGGAGCTGATAGGGCTATCTCAGATATTTGCGTCAAACTCTTTTTTACCTTGAAGTTGGTGTATATTGGTCTGAGTGCCAGTAAATCTTCGTGTTGACCTAAAGAAAAGTTCACTTGGCTGTGACACAAGGCTTTACTTTTTAGCTAATGTCTCTGTGCAGCTGGTGGTTGATAGCCTCAAGATTTTCATGTGGAGACAATGTGTGGGAGTAGTTGCCTGTTGAGAATTATATTAATCCCTCCACCATTTTCCAGTGGAATAGCTGTAAAGTGCAAATTTTTAAATGCTACATATATGAGATACCAGCCTTTCCATTTCAGCAGCACCTTCTCTAATGGTCAAATGATGATCTGCAATGGAAGAAAATATCCGTTTGGATCTTTATTACTGCCTTATGATATATAAAAATTATCTTAAATAGGCCTATAATTTTTCTATTTTTTTCCTTTATGCTAAAATGTTATCTCCAGGTTTTCAGATTATTCTAAAAAATTCAGAATTGCAGAAGATTTTGATTCAAATGCCTTTTAAAAAAATCTGTCATTTTTTAATTCAAACTCCTGACAAATGCTTATTATTTACCATAGTAGATGTGTTACAGTTTGCTCTCCAGGAGAGGAATGAGACATTTTTTTTCCCCTCCTATTCATAGAAATCTGAGGATTTCTGCACTGAAACCACAGATGAAAATTTTTGCATACTTGTATTTCTGAGGTACAAAACATGCAGAAATGCCTGCTGCCAGTTTTCAGGCCTTCTTCCTATATAGTATACATAGCAGAGACACATGAATGTACTTTTTATAGCCACTTTAGAGGGGCATTTTTTACAAAAAGTAGGTTTGGTGGGGAGTGTTCCCTGCCCACAAACTAAAGGACTTGCATTTTCAGCTGAATCACCTAAATGCGTATATATTTGTATGCCAAGGATTTAGGAGACTTCTATTCTGGAAGATTTCTTAGCGGTACGAGCAGGAGGAGGAAGTCATAAATTTCCTCAAGCCTTAGACAAGAACAACAGAGCAGCAAAACCAGATCGAGAAGTTTCCTTTGCTTTTTTTAAGCTTTAATTTACCACAACATTGCAGGCTTTCTTCAAGTGAAATAAGCTTTGGTGCTAGGAGTTTTCGTGATCCTTTTTGGATCTGGGAATGATTTAGTTATTTCTCATTGTCACCTTCGTTGATACATTTGAAATAATAAGGTGCTCCATCGGTTTTAAGTTCCATTTATGTAGCAGCTGAGACTTCTTTTTTTTTTTTTTCTATGAACTACTTGGGGGAGACTTTAAGATATAGGTAATGTATATCAGCTGAATAACCTGACCAAATTAACACCCTAGTCTTTTAGTAACAACTCTTTTACTTCATTAATTTTTGGTTGTAATCTTTGTTGAAATCCCCCCAGATCGCTCTAGGTCACAAGTGACAGGATGGTGCAAAATATGGCCCCATATATGGCTTGAATTGAGCCTCTGCTGGGGTGGAAGAAAATGCAGTGTTTCTTTTAAGACTTTGGTTTTAGATTCAGAAGTGGATAAATTAGATAAAGTATTAATTTAAATGTGTCTCTTGGAAGCATGGGTGCCCAAATGTTGTACAGCATGAGAACTGTTCACTTAGAAGTACATTTACCTTGCAGTCAGTGTATTAAAGTCCTGAAACAATGCCACATCAGCCTATAGATATAAGGGTTTGGTAAAAAGTTAGCGAAGACCCCGTGTTTTGTAATGTCAGTTGGAGTATTGGCATTCGGGTAACAGCTATCCACAAATATTTTGCATGCAGAATATTCTAACGTTTGTTTTGCTGTTTGGGTTGTGCATTCTGCCTGCATTTGAGGCGGTGGGAAAGCAAGCTGCTGTGCTGCGTTTCACTGGGTACTCGTGTTGCTGGGTGCTGAAGACACATGCTGCTGCTTCATTCTTCATTTCAAAGTCCTAGGGAACAAATATTTCTGAGCTGGTTGCCAGTGTTAGTAGGACCTGCATATTAGACATGTGGGCATAGAATTAAAGATCAGATTTAGAGTTGTGCAATAGGTGTATCTCTGTGTGCAAAGGCACCTACTAATTTGCTGTAAAGCAGTTAGTCATTTCAGATCGCTCTGTGTGTGTGTGTGTGTGTGTTTAATTCAGGCTTGAAAGTGATGCTATGCCTGAGAGAATCTAGGATGCATTATTTTGTTCTGAAGTCCCTGGTTGTGAAGCATTTTATTTCCTTAAAGCCATCATATATACAGTGTGATAGCTTCGGATCTTGATAAGGAAATAAGCAACCACATGCGGGTCTAAACCCCAGTACTTAACAAAAATACAGCACCAGCTATGAAAACAAATTAGTATGGAAAAGTCAAATTAAGTGCAAATATATCTAGTTTCAGGTCTTAAAAAGCAATTCATACTCTATCAGAGGAACAGAAGCATGAAGACAGTTTCAGAAGTAGAAGCATAATATCGAACGTTTGATCTAAAGATGCTGGATTTAGGATTCATAGAACTATTTCCCGGTCAATTATACATTTACTGCAACATATGAATTAGCTTATCCATAAACCACAGACAGGTGACTCCAAAATAAACATTAATTTTTGAAAGTCATAAATACTTGAGTAAATATTACACAGTTAATATGAGACATACAACTGGAAGGTGACTTTTAGTTGACAGTATGAAAAATATTTCTTTTTGACAGGTAGTGTAAATCTGTCAGAAGTATGGGGTACCTACTGTGCTACTGACAGGCAAACACTTGGCATCGTTGTGGCTCAAAAAAAAAGAATGAAGCTGAGTTTGTTTCCTCACTTGCATTAGGTCATGGAAGGAAAATGCCATCTTTCAGCCCTTATGACAAACAGCTTCAGGCTTCTAGGCCTAAAGACCTTGTTTATGCAAAATTATTCTCTTTTTATAAATGTAGTTGTATAGTCTCACTGAATTTAATAGGGCTAGGTTTGTGTCTAATAATAAAAATGCAGGTGTGGGTTTTTTGGCATTACATACTTGTGGCTGTATTTTGGATCTGTTTTGAAATAAATACTGTACTAAATGTCGCTCTATTTCTGTGGAATTAGAAATGGGAAATCTTTCACGTGGAAAGATTACTGTAACAATTAATCATGTGTCACTACCAATTTGAGGAAGCAAAAATAATAATAATGATGATAATAGAAGCACTTTGAGACCTGATGTTTGAACTGGAAAGTGATGACAATGTCATAGAAAAAACAGATCTGCAGCAGATGCATGGAGAAATATAGAATAAGAGAATAAGATAGCAGTGTGTGGAAGAGTGAGAGCTCTTATAAGCAGAAGATGCAGATTTAAGCAGAGCAAGCTGTGTCATTAGCTGTGAGGGATCTCACCTATAAAATAACTGTAGCAGTTTGAAGAATGCGGTGCACAGTGTGTTGTTTGAGATAAGACTTGGCTCTTCATTGGTTTGTTTAATGATTGTTGTGGTCTGTTCAATGATTGCCCTGGTCTGTCTGTTGTAAAAGTGAAATAGGAAACTAGGCTGTAGCAATACCTCACCTCTCCTTTGGCCTTCTCACTGGTTTCTTTCTCTCTAATCAGTGTGTCCGGCATTGTCTCCTGCTCCCTGTCTCACTTCATTGGGTCTTCTGTTCTATTTGTCTTTTAAAGCAGTAGAAAAATAAATGCTACTTGTAGCTGAGCCTCAGCTACCAAGAGGTTCTTTCCCTGTGTTCGTGTAATTGTTTCATTTCACACCTTTTTTAACTTTACCTTTGGCATTAGCTGAAGTAGCAAAAAACATTAACTGAGCTTCAAAGCATGCAAGTGGGAGAAAGAGGGAGAAGTAGGGGATGGAATTGAGCTGAAAAAGGGAGAGAAGAAAGTAATGAAGAACTCTTAATCTGATATATCTTTATATAAATATTTCTCACCTCTTTGAAGAAGTTTAAAAAGAGCTCTGCATTCTCTGTGAGTCTGTCAGAAATGCTACCGAATCAAAAACAAGTCCATGTCTGTTATTTCTATAGTTTGCCATTCTGGGGGTTCAGCAGCTCATTACAGTGCTTTGTTTAATCAGTTCTGGTGTATAAATGTTTGGTATTTATGTCTGCTTCTTAATGAGAGTTTCTTTTTTGGGAAATACTATGTCTAAATTTATTGTAAATTTACTGCAGAAATTGAAACATAAATCAAAGGTCATCTCTGGATACTGTATTTAAACTCTTTGTATATAAAAAGTAGCTCGATTTTTCACAAAGTTATAAAGAAACTGGGGAGATCCCTTGAACATCTCATACCTAGTTCTGTCACCTTGAGTATCATACTAAACGAGTACTTGCTGTCCTAAGTATATGTAAACCAATATATTCTCTGACTATGCAAATTGCTGGCAGAATTCTTGATCTTTAAATTGTGGGTATGGTATTACTTCACATATATCTTTCTCTAATTTTTTTGGAAAGAGTTACTGTGGATCCAGCTGACATCAGGGAATGTATTTCTTGTTGAAAGCAGTTGCTAATGTTGCACAGTAAAGTAATAATAATTCTTGATGTTTTAATGACTCTTTCCCACATGTTCATGTACCTCTTTATTGGGATGATTAAGATACATTTCATTAGTTAAGAATTGGTTTTGTCAGTATACATATAAAATAATTTTTCAATGTAGGTTTTCTTGCAACAGCATATTGCTATGATCTTAGGTTTAACATAGTAGGTTTACACTAAAAAGCACTTTCTTTTTGTTATTAAGTATATTAAGTATATTTCTATCCTGAAAAAATTATGTGTTGTGACATCAGCTTTATCTTCTCTACTCTCTCTGTCAGTATCTCAGATGTGGTAGAAAGCCTGTTAGGCACTGTGTTAGGGGTAAATGGGAGGCTCCAATGGTGGAGGTGTTTATAAATCCTTTGTTAAACAACGTGGTAGAGAGAGTAATTAAGGA